AATCAAAAATGTAAAGTTTATCATAAAAGCTGTGCATCAATAGTTAAATCATCAACTGTTGCTTAGTTTATTATTAATAAGTACTTGTTGCTTGACATTAATCTCCTCCTGATGGGTTCTAAGGAGAATGAGGGAGTCTGTCAGATGTAGTAAAATAGAGGTGAGTATGATAGGGAGCACAACTGAAATAGAGGAAAACAGTTTGACCACCTTCATCATAATACAACAACAACATCGTGCAATTTAATGCACACACATACACGCCTACACTGACGCTCACTCGCGGTTTGTTTGCAGACTTCTCTTCACAGTAATTGCAGTGACATTTATATTTGCACCTGAAGCCTGTCTGCCGGTTTCCATTACTTCCAGCCAGATTAAGAGAGAGGCAGACACGAGTGTATGGCTGATGATTGGAATGAACGCAAAACCAAATGTACCCGAAAGAGCTATTTTGAATTGAAGCCCAGTTCTCCTCCATCTGACAGGGTCACTCACAGATTCTGTGCTGCAGAAGAACGCCTTATACACCGCACACGCATAAATACCCAGCAAGGCAGTATATGACATGGATGCAGCCAACTAAAATTCAGCTCATATTTCCACAGGTACACATACAGTCTCTAATCATCAATTCAAACCGTGAAATGTCTGCTTAGTGAAAAATAGCACCCATTTCCCTCCCACCCAATAATACTATTCCACGGTATCAGTTGCATCACTTATTTCTACCTGAAGATTTATAGGAAAACGATGATTAGACCTTTCTACGTTACAAGGATGAATCTATCTGGACTGGGAATCTTGGCTCGGTTGAACCATCCATTTGTCATTATATATTTATCCAGCGTATTCACTGGTGGCTGTAGTTCAGTGAAGTGCACCGTGACAGAAACACCATTTTACTTCTTTGCCTACTGTGAATGGCATTATGCAGATCGTCAGCAGGAGTTAAAGGATTTGTCTCAACCGTTTCACCTGTCTGTGAAATGCACAGCTTTGCAAAACTGATAGTGAATCACAACACTATTAGCATTCGCTCCCGTCCTCACACTTCTTAATACAGAAGATTCCGGAACCCAGGGGGGGCCCTGAGAGACCGTTTCAGCAGAAAGGTGTTTGTCTGGACCCGTGTTTGTTTACACAACTGGGAGCTTAATCCTCCATCAGCAAACATCGCCATTCACAGAATTATTCTCCCACATGGGTCAATTACAGAGAGGGGGGTGTGCTGTCAAAGCAGGGCTTCCAGGCATTTTGGCTTTCAGGAAAATTACAGTGCATGAAAAAAGGAAATGAGTAGTTGGTCTATTTTGATACTACTGCATTCCTACTCTTCTTTAGGTTCGAGACTCCTCAGGATTCTATTTTTTTAGCCAGTCCACTCTGTTTCCTCTAGTGACCAGAGCACTATGCTTACTATGCATTAACACAAATAGAACAAATCTAATTTGCTGCACTATTGATCTTGACAATGGGGTACCAGTTCAGCATTCATTACAATCCCCATGCAGTACAACATGTATAATAGCAAAGCCGCTGGATCCTCACGTGACTTTCAATGGCTCAGTTTTCTGCACTTCTCTCCAGCGTGGCAGCTCATTCATTTAGCATGTTTTATGTTTTACTCTTATAATCTTGACCCCAGTGGATCTGTCGACTTTCTTGTAATGGAATGATTGGTTAATTTGTTGCTGGAAAATAAAACATAATTTCCTCCAACAACCCACTCATTTAATCAAGTCACCTCTACATATCTTATTCCGTTATATTTATGTGCTGTTTTAATGAAAATGAACACAGATATACTTTCTTCATTCAGCAAATTCACGTTTTTTTTTATTCAACTTCAAGTTATATGCATCCCCTTGTTAATAATAATAATATATATTTTTTTATTGGAAAGTCAATATCATTTTGACCTGCTCAGGATAACTAAAATAAACCTTTCTTACAGTATATGCATATACAGCTTACTTACAGACTGACACTTGTATGGTCACTCATTGTATAGGATAAGGCAGACACATGCACACATTCCTCTAAATGTTATCTCTTCCTTTCATTTCCACCACGTGTTTTCCTCCATCACTTCAATCATGTCAATTCAAAGATCGTCAGAAGAATACATTTATTCACAACCATCCCTTAATCTGCCAAAGAGCTGATACAATACACACATCCATTGAAACACCTAAAACATACATAATTAAAACAAATTCACACTTAATAATCTCTCATTTCTTTACCCTGCTGTTTCACAGACAATCATTCAGTGAGTTTAAAAAGGCTCACAGTCATTGTCACTTTTAAAAGCAAACATTTGTCTAACTTAATAAACCGTCGCTAGGTTCCTAGTTGTTAGAGATTATCCTTCATATCTGTTCTTTGATGTGTCAACTGTTGTTTTTCTTAACTCAGAGAGATGGCAGTGCAAGTTTAAATACATGAATTCACATCCACCACTGCATCTTATTCACCTAATGCAGTGTTTCTCAAACTTTTTCATACCAAGGACCACTTAACCAATAAAAAAACACTCGCGGACCACCTAACTCCACAAATATCCAAAACCACATCGTTTTTTACAAAAATTGTACAAACAAGTGGCAACATGTGTGATGAAGGTGCTTATCTGGGCTATATCATGGAATCGAAAGTGAAACTTAAGCTTGTTCCATTGCGGAGATATTCCCGCGAGAGTGCGAAAAACTTAAATAAATGTATTTATTTCAAATGTGAAATTGTACCAATATACTCACGGACCACTAGGGGGCGGTCACGGACCACCAGTGGTCCGCGGACCACACTTTGAGAAGCACTGGTCCTAATGAATGCATAAGAGGAGTCATTAGACGCAATGTGTGACCGGTGACAGCTTTTTACCATGACCTGGGATCAAAGCGTGGGTTTGCATGATGCTTCAGAACCACCAGTTTTCCACATGAAGAGGACTTTGTTTATGGTTGCCACTTAGACTCAGCTCCACTCAGTGATCCATCCCACACACAAACACCCACAGGACCTACTGTGTATTCTACAGGGACAGACTGACAGACTCACTCACAACGTCAGAACCTATACTCAAACATGACAAGTTATATCTGGGAGGTGTGTGGCGCAGTGGACTAGTGTGTTGGTGTTGGGATCAGGGGGTCACAGGTTCAAACCCCACTACAGTCAGCATGTCGTTGTGTCCCTGGGCAAGACACTTCACCCCAATGTAATGTATGTTTTTACTACTAAATACTTGTCTTCTGAATTCACCCTTTTAGTCCAAATCCTGCTAAGATCTAGATCAGATATGATCACTCACAGCAGCTGCCAATTTCACATGTTTTAATCAAAATATAAGATGTCCTCTAGATGTCCATTCCACCCTGAAGGGAAACTCATGGCAGATCTGAGTGATAGATATTTGACCGATACAGAGTATACTGACTGAGCACCACCACTGAGTAGCATGAACAGCAACATAGAGCTGATAGGCTGAGATAACAAGCAATGAGAAGTGACTTTTAGACTTTGTTTCTGCTGGAAAGCTTGGACTAGCAACACAATCGACATCAGTGTTTCCCCTAGGTTTACTGCTTTGATTTTTTAAATCTTCTGGAGCAGAGGAACAGAGGAGCTCTGGACTATTGTTATTGATTAATGCATCAGTGTTTCTTAGGGTCAACAACACTAAACTCACAACTTCAAATGAAAGTGTTTAGTTTATTTAATAAAAGGTGCTATATATATATTTTTTAAAAAAGATTATAAAATATATATATCTTTGTTTTAAACACCTTGAATTTCAGAGGGGGCGCGGGGCTCCGTTGGTGGGGCGCAGCGCCCCTCCAAGACAATGTTAGGGGAAACACTGGACATATTGCTGGACCAGAGACAGTAAAGCAACATTTTCTATGTGCAGAACAATCCCCTTCTTCACAACACCTATCATAAATGATGCCTTATTAATTTATTGTTTTCTTTCCCATTTCAGGTGTATGTGTTCCTCCTTCCAGGGAGAACACCCATTGTTCTTTATTGTGTAAAACCACATTAAGTTACCTAATGGCCTTTCATCTCCCTTTTAGGTTGCTGCAGATATCAGAACCCTCAGTGAAATACCTTTCTCTCTATCCTTCTCTATCCTTTTCTGAATCTTCTAAATGAATTATGTTTCCCAAAATGCCCCCAGTGACTTCACATCACTGGAAATGCACAATTGTCCATTTTTACAATGCAATAATACTTTTTTTGTTTTCTCTTTCTTAAACAACATTAACCCCTTAATGACTACTTGGGGAAACATGTATGAGATATGTGCACCTATTCAAGTGATCAAGACATGATTGGCCTCGCCCAGTACAAAAGGACTTCAATTTGAAATGGACTAGAGCCCAGCGCCAGCTGCTGACCAGATTAGCTTGTCAGATTGAATCCTGACACTGATGAACTTCTCCTTCTTCCCCTTCCCCACTCTAAACAAACACCCCCATCAAAACTACCCAAATCCCCCCTGTGGAAGTTGATTTTCTAACTCTTGTCTCTTTTACTAACAACAAGCTTCAGAATTCTTCCAATTTGATTATTTTCATTGGTGAATTTTCTTTTCCCTTACCTTTTATGATTTCAAAAACTAACACTGTGTCATTCACGGAATGTGAACCATCTGTTGTTTTCTCTAATTAACTTGCGACTTACATACTAACAAATGTATTGTTATCCTTTTATTCCTTTTCTGTTATTTCATTTGGTAGATTACCCTAATTATATAATTGCTTTCTTTATTTCTTTATTTGGATGTTATACTATATAAATAATAGGACAAACATTTAGTTTAAATCATCTATGAATATTCAATTCATATTTGTTAATGAAAATAAAAGCTGGTTTCAAAAAGGCAATTTTCTTTTTTTCTTTGCCACTTTTTTGGGGTTGAGGTGTGTTTTCTTAAGTTTAAGGTTGGTCATTTTATTTTTTCTTTCTCCTCCCCCTGTTTTCTCCTGAAGCACGCAGGCATTGGACACGCTATGGTAAACAAACTGCATTATATGGTAGATATCATTCTAATTGTCTTATACTTTGGTTTGCCCTGGGTTTTCCGTTACCTCTCTCTATTCTGTTTCTACTGAAAGTACAATCCGCCATCAATTCCAAGGTAGCTGAACAACTCCACCTCTCTGTTTTATTTTAGCCCTCTCTATATGTTATTGCTTTTTATTGCCATCCAGTCCTCCCCTTCCTGAACATATTTTACGTGTTCATCCAAAGAGGTCTGCCCAAAAATACAAAGATTTTACATTTATTTAGATTTGATTTGTTTTACTTTATTTGTTGACCCTTTTGATTTGTTTTATTTTGTTTTACTTCGAACACTATCCGTATGAAGAAATAAAGAATCATAATGCAAAAAATGTTTTCTCAATTGAGTATTAGAAAAGTTACCTTTTTACTTTTTTGTAATCCCTGTCCCCCCCTGATTTATTTTTCTTAGAATAACCCTATGAATAGAGCGTACGCAGCAGATTTCTCAGGGACACAAAAAGCCTACTCGAGTAACTCCAGTGAGAGCAAGTAAACAAAAACACTTTTTTAACAACACGAGAGAAAGGCAATGATGATCTTCCTATGTTGGAACTGTTCACCGTTTAGTGACCTGTTTTCTTAGTTGGCCATGCTGTGGTTTATGGAGTCATGAAGAGTATTTACAACCCTTGATTTAGAGGCCAAAGCCTTCACTATAAAGTATGCCTCAAATGAGGGTTTGATCCCATTAGTGGCCTTAGCTTGATTAATCAACCAGATGGGACTGTTCTTAGACCTGCACCTGGACACAGTGCTGGCCTTCCACACATGTGGGCACTAAATAAAGTGCTTTAATTTGTCATTAGACCCCTAATTGGGTGCAGAAATGTAATTCAAGAGTACTGAAGGCTCATAAATGAGAATAAAATGGCAAATGCAAAAATCTGGCAGAATCTGATGTTAGTAGACATACTCAGCCTTACTTGCTTTCACTGGACGAATCAATATATGAAGCTGTCTGGCCATTGATGCAGACCATAACGAGAACTGCCTGAGAACATCTGAGCTGTGTGCGATCGACCCCTCATTAACACTAACACTAACTTATATTATACTTTACTGGCCTCACCCCCTGCATGAAGAGACTTGAACCCTCTTCCCAATCTTGTTTTTTTATATACAGATTGCATTGAGTATATACATATATGTATATGTATATATCCTGGCTAACATATATACATACATATATCAAATGTCCTAATATAATCAATACGGCCATGAAACATGTTAGCCACACCCTCTTGCTGTTTTATTTATTTAATTTCACTTTCTTTGTTTTTCTTTTTTTAACTTCAAATTAACTTACTAAAATGAATAACGACCTCACATATTTTCTTGCTGAAACAAAAAAAGGGAAAAAGTAAAGAGGGGACACAGACATTCATTTTTCTGGGTGAATAGAGAATTGATGCCCCAAGCAATACATCTGTGAAATCCATCATAACACATGAGTTGGAGGAAAGTGTTATGAGTCTCTGTATCTAGTGACTCACTCAAGCTCAAATCTGACAAAAATGAGTACGCAATCTCAAGCTCACATCAGAAATGATGTGGGGGAATTCTAGTGCAATCATGTACGGGTGCAGATTTCCTCCATATCTAACATGGAAAGTGATGCTATGACACATCATGCCATTGGAATACTAATTGCTCTGTTCACCCAAATCAGGGATGTCCTTTCTCCCCTCTCAATTTTCTCCATTCTTTAAAAAAAAAAACCTCTCATTTCCATTAATTTCATCTGTGATTGGTCCCATCCTGTCCCTCTTCCACCTCCACACCTCCAGTATCCAGTGGTTGTGTCCCTGCATCTGATGTGCATGTGTCCATCTGTTAGAACGTCTTCCCATCAGCGTACTCACAGGAGAACTTGCTGCCCAAGCCCCAGCGCGTGTCAGTCTGTTGACCACGTGTCTATGGGTTTTTATTTTTGTTGCTTTCTTTTCTAAACCTTTACATTGAAACCTCACTTTTTCCATTTGTCTGGTGTCGTAGTGCTCTGCAATTACATTTCCTTCCCTTCTACTTTCCCATGTTGCTGCATCGTGCCAGATGGTTTACTTGTTTTTATTTACTAGTGGGTCTGTTTGTGTTGTGTTTAATGGAATACTCCTCCCATCCACACATTATCCCTGTCATCTCCCCATTTAAGTGCATGGCTTGTGTGTCACCCTGTTCGCCTGGATGGATCCATTTTGTTTCCTCTTAACCAAAACAAACCCTTGCCCATGAAATAACACATTCAGTCCAAAGTTGGACCTGGTTTGAGCAATCAAATTTCAGAGGACTTTTAAAGAATCCTCACCTACTTATCACTGACTAAATTGACTAAAACAGTGTTACTAATCTACTGTTTGAATCAAACCTTTGTTGTAACTGTACTAACAACCATTTTTGTGTCTGACTTTCCCTTACTTACAAAAGTACTAACCGATTTTGTTCACCCTCCAACCCTAACTATTTTCGGCACACAACTAAAAACTCCCCCTCTTTCTCTCCCCCTCCTCTTGACAACGGTTGCCAAACAACACTTGCCTCAGGCCTCCCAACCCTTCCTCATATACTAACCTAGATATGTAGCTTAGCTAAAACTACATATTCCATATTTAGCGTTGAAAGACAAACCCTCCTCATACAATAAATTACTCAAATACGCGTTGACAAGCTGCCAGACACCTACTGAAGTCCACCGCTGGATGAGAAGCTCCTTTTTCTCTTACTCTTTTGAACATCCTCCCCTCCTGCGGGTCTGGCTTTGACCTGAGCTAATGGGGGGGCAATGTGGTGCAAGGTGGTAATGTGTAATCTATTATGATACGTGTGAGCGTTCAACTGTGTAATCTAAATATAACACATTGTTTCTCCCTGCAAAATATCAAATGTAGTGCCAACAAGGGTAAGTGATACATTTTCAAGGTAAGCTTGCTCTTCTCTGCAATAATTACAATGTTGAATACATGAAGGTACGGATGGGTGTCTGTACCTGGACAGACTGTGCTACATGACAAAAGTAGCTGACATAGAAACAGAAATCTCTTGCTAAAAATAAAAATGGGCTGCTGGAAATCACGACATTTTTGTATTCCTCGATGATGTGTGCACAAAGTGAGTCACACAAAGCTGAGAGTTGAAATGGTACAGCTTCATATACCGTAATGTGGGGTGTGGAGAATTTCAGCTGCAAGACTTGCTTTGATCTTTCTCCTCAAACCCTCAATATCATCTGGGTTCATTGTGATGCTCTGCTTTATGGATAGCTGATGCACAAGACATGTTTTACCTTCAGCTCCCTTTCCTTATTTTGTGGCAACCAGAATCCTGAAAATAAATAAAGACAATGGATGAGCTGGAAGATAGTAGAGGATAGGCACTTGGAATTGTGTAAAATACGTGATGCTTAGTGTTATTAACTTTTACGTGTGATATAAGTGTTGTCAGTATTGACAGTATTGTTTTAGTTGCAATCTTCTTGTCGGATCGTTCAGTTGCCAGGAGCCTGCAGTCATGGAGCCAGTTATGGTCAATGAGGCTGTAACACGCTCAGCTGATCACACAGTAGGACACTACATGTGAAGCCCCATTACAAAAGCTTTGTCATTCTGTAGGTAGTTGTAGGTTTATGAGGAATAAGCACAGCATCGAAAGATAGGTTTAAAAAGGGATAACTTGATATCATAACAGAGTAATATTTCCAACACTGGGCTAAATTGGAACGCTTCCCATATGGTTTCATGGCTGTGTCAATCCCTTTACAGTTAATCTATCTGTAAACAGCTTCAGACTGTTTCCTGTGATATCTGGGGCACACAGTTCAGCACAGATCAGCCAGCTATGTTTGGTTTATGTTTGTACTCGGCTCGAGAGGTATTTGAAGAAATAAAAACAAGGAATCCAACAGAAGCACCAGTGGGATTTGTGTGCTATGTGTGTTGTCTTATTGAGGTAGCTTATTTTCAGCGTTGCTTCTTAGTTGTTTGATTCAGGTGTTGGTGTAAGCTCGAACCAGGCCATATTCTCAGAATTTGCAGCAAAGGTTTTTGTATTTATATTCTCAAAGCTTTATGGCTTCCAGGCCAGCAGCATCATGGTGTTTCTAGCAGCAACCTGGGATATTATCACCCTTGCCCTCCTCTGGCCAGTGATGCAAGTGCCTGTAATATTACTCAATGAGATGAGTGTGCATTCTGAATGAAACAAAGTCTAGCTAGCTCTTGTGAATAATCACAAAGTCACCTCAGAGAAAACCCTTGGATATTTGTTCTGTTTTTGTTTATTTTTGACTATCAATGCATGTTCTTATTTTTGGAACATTGGGGGTTTTGTATTGCCATTTTCTGATTACACAATGAATCAATGACTGTAATATGATTTCCCCAGGGATGTTGTTGATGCAATGCATACATTAAAACCAATGTATGTGGTGGAACCGGGATGGTGGAGATGGCAAGAGAAAGAACAATGAAAAGAAAAAATGCTTATCTCAAATTTCCCCTTTTTAGCTGGGAATTGTTTAGGTGTCTGGCAGCTAGCCAATCGCATGGCCCCAATGAGAAATCAACAACAGTTCACAAAATATTCCTCCAAATCCAAAAAGCTTTGCTTGGCCCTAAAACATGTTAAGCACTGAAGTCCACATTTTGATTTCAGAAAATCTACAGGTAATATGTCTACCGTTTGATATCCTATCTCCTTATACGAGAAGAGGTCATGCCCCCCCCTCCCTTGTATCTTCTCCTTAGCTTCTTGACACAATAGGACACATTAAGTTGCCCTGCTGAAAGCCCAATCCGAGATCTTCAAAGACGACCCTGACACACCAGCACGTTCAACCACGCACTCCTCATGCCATATACATCTGACATATACGATAGGTCTTTATCTCCAAGTAGAAACAGCAGACATAAAAATGAGTTGCCCTGTTAAGTAGGGAAGTACAAAAACGAAAACAAAACTGTCAGGAAAAAGAGAACACAAGCACTTAGCTGGGGGCGCCTGATCTGTTGAGTGCAGTTGCTAAGGTTTCTGTTCAGCCTAAGAGTGTTTGCTAAATCTCATATTGAGGCTTTTTTCTTGTTTTTCTTCTAGGATAAATGCTATTGTTGTAGATTATTATTGGTTAAAATGTGTCTGTGCTCAAAGCCTGCTGCTCTTAAAAGGTGCTCATCAAAACTACATTTAAGGAAAGCAGTATCTATAGATATAATGTGCACAATATAATTGTAAATGACTAAAATCAAGCTAGCTTTGTGCTGGCAACACTTTTGAGTGTGCAGTGTTAATGAAAAACAGACGGATGTGTACAAATCTCCCTGCAATTCTTTCGAATAGCAGATGTTGAATCAGGGACATAAGCATTTCACTTAGGCCTCAGGCCCGCTCTATTAGGATAATTGCACAAATGATTGGTCACTAAATGCAAAAAACAACCTTATTTTTCATTCTGTTTCTGTAGATAAATAGCTATGGCACTGATTGAAATACAGCCATGATATCTGACGTGATAATGCAAAAGACACACTTTTCTTATTAGCAGTGCAATTTGCCACTTTGTAAAGAGTATAATGTAAAAAAGACAAATTGTGGAAAAAGTGAGTTGAGAGAATCCTTTTCCTTCATTCTATTTCCAATGGAGCATATCCCCTGTGTCCTAATATTCACTCTTCATGTATTCTTTAAACCGCCATGATCTGGTGTTGAATTTTAAACAGTTGCTTCACCTCATCATGTTAGGTATTGTGTTACATATGTGCCGGAGTAGTCCCCACACACGCTGATGTAATTTATGTTAGAACTCCTTTTGATGAAGTTAGTCATATTCCAGTAATACAAGGGTACCGAGACTCAATTTTACAGACATCAAAATACCATTTGAGCGAAAGAACAAAAATCCAATTTCACGGAAAAGCCTGGAGGATCCTCAAAAATGTACCCTTTATACACCTGTATTATTAAATTATTTATATTACGTCTTCTTAAGTTTCAATCCACACTATCTCCTGCCATCAGCTTGCGGCTGTGTGTTTGATTCCTCCCGATCACTGTTAGCGATCAAGCATGTAGCATAATGTGTAACCTTGCACAAAAGACAAGACTTCAGGCAGTTAAACATTACAAAGGAGTTTATTTTTACTGGTAGTTCCTTTAAGCCCCTGTCACACTGTCCCGAAAATTGACACCAGATGGACACCCGATAAAGGAAATGTTCAAATTCGGCTCTGATCATAACAACATCGGGCTATTCGTGAGGGCATCTTGAGCCATCGTATGACCGCTGGTGGAGTTTCTCAGGCTCCACCAGCAACTTCGTGAGCGGTGGAAAACTCTTTGGCATGCCAACAAATTGCCGAAGGACCTTGCGAAGGTTCATTTTCGTGTTGAATTTGTGTGTCCATGTTGCCCTTAGTAAGGCACTCGTGAGGGCATCTTGTAAAATTGTGTCATCTTCGTGTGATCATCGTGCCATCGGGCATTTTTCGCCTCATGAAGACAATACGAAGGGAGCAAGAAGCTGCCCGATTGTCTTAGGAAGGCAACACGACTACGTGAAGCCCTCACAATGCCGTCGTATTATAGTACGATGACATCGCGATTGCATTTATTTCACAACAAAATCATGTACACATATTATGTAAATAACCCAATTTGTGTTCTGTGAAACTGAAAAGGATATTACATTGTTTGTGTTACTTTCGTTGCAGTTGTATGTCTTTAATGTAATTTAGGTTAACTTCCTGTTTTATTTAGATGCTTTTATTTTGAAGGTGAGTTTATGCTGTTGACAGGAAGTTGTTGTTGCTATGGAAACAACATGACGGAGATAAGTAATATCTTCTAATCTACATATAAAGACGGAGAAGGTGAAGAATAAAGTGTATGTTTAAATGTTAGCACCCCCCGAAGAGGCACAAGCTCTTACGTTGAGTCTGGATACATTTTAAATCATCAGTAAAGTCTACGACCATATTTCCGTGTGTGGTTCGGGTGCCATCGTGTGGCCTTCTGTAGGCATCGTACTTGCTTCGGCTGTTGCTTGGCTGTTGACCAAGTTCGGGGCCATCTTCGTGCGAAATTCACAATTCCATATTCGTGTGTCCATCTGGTGTCAATTTCGGGACAGTGTGACAGGGGCTTAACTGAAATGGGGTTCAGCAAAGGGGTTTTACAGAGAAGCTATGTCAATCACAGGGAAAGCCCTGTTGATATTTTTTAAATGATGTTACCTATAAGATCATGTTTTTTATACATGCTGCCATATATATTTTGCACTTAATCTAGTATAGGATTACATTAAAGTATACTCTTGCAAATTAAATCACGATTCATGATTACACAGTGAGCACAGCACTCATTCATTTTTGTTCTCTTAGCAACTGCCCTCTAGAGTGAAAGCCCCCAGTCTGAGTGGCACTAAAAGCAACAAACCAATCGCTACCATTTAGGGGACGACCCCGCCTAGCACCAGTGTTTAATCCACTTTCTTCCTTGTTTTTCCTCCACATTCTTCTAAATTCTCTCCATTCTCATCATCCTGTATCTATCCATCTTTTCCTGCTCTCTATCTCTGCCTCTCTACTTCTCACTGTCTCTTTTGGGCCATGCCTATGTCAGGTGACCATCTCAGTGGATGGTATACTGACCACCACTGGTTACACCCAGGAAGATTACACCATGTTGGGTTCAGATGACTTCTTCTACATCGGAGGGAGCCCCAACACCGCCGACCTGCCCGGATCACCAGTCAGCAACAACTTCATGGGCTGCCTTAGAGATGTGAGTTGATCTGAATGAATCAGTTTGTGATTGCATACTGTATGTAGCTGATCACACAGGCAACCATGCCCACACTGTTATTTTACTTTCTCTCTGCCTCATGCTAGCAGGTTGCTTGCTGTTGAAAACGTTTTCAACTGCACCACCCTACATTAAATTGTGATTACATCAGTTTGTGTCTTTACACTTTTGGTAATGAAAAATTAGATCATCAACATCACCATGTTGCAGTGAGAACAAACAGCTTGTTTGGCCGTGCATCATCCTCACACATACTGAAACACATTGGTGTTGACTCTAACACCTGAGAATCATCATTCTGGGCAGACAGTATTTGAGCGTAGGACGTGTCAGACATACAGTATCATGAATCCCTTTCAAGTGTTTGTTATCACTCCTCCAAACCACACTGCAGACCAAACAAATCCACAGGCATTGATTGCACACATCACAGTGGGATATCGGAAAATCACAAAGTTCCAGATTTATACTCATGGCATGGAAGCGTACACATAGTGATACACAGTCGCATATACTGCAGTCAGGAATGGTTATGTAGAGGACAGTTGCTCTATAAACAACTTTATTTCTCCAGGTTTGAAAAAAAAGTGACTTTTATTTTCACCAGGGTATTAAATTATAATTTAACAAGCTGTCAAGAGGACCAATCACAGCTTAAAGTATTATGCCCTTGTAAATGTAATGACTTGTATAGAGGCGACGCAACATGGTGCCATCGCATATCCTCATAAAACCACGCTGATTGAATAAGTAATTACTTCTGCCATCACTTTTAATGGATCGCACAGTAATCGCCCTATCTCTAACTTAATTATGCCTGTAGAATTACATTTTCATTATTTGGGTTGCTATCAGAAGGATCCCAAGTGGGTCTTAAACTTCCCAAGGCGTTTAACTATCCTCTCCCATCAAGACAGGGCTGGATATACAGTCAACGTACAGACGGGCAAAAGGGAGGGGAGGGGGTTTCAACGGTAGGAAAATAGACTATGCTCACAACAAAACATAGAGGTGAAAGTGAAGAGGGAAAATGAGTCAAGTGTTGGAAATGGAAAGTCGGAGCATATGGTTGGAGAAAAGAGCATTTGAGAAGCTGTTGTCAGACTGAGTGATGAACCAATAAATAGCTAAGCGAGGGGGGATGCAAATAAGGAAGAACTAGCCGCAAGTACGCAGTTAAAAGAGGACATTGTTTTAGTATTATTTATTTTTTATTTTACCTTTATTTAACCAGGATAGGTCTCATTGAGATTCAAAATCTCTTTTTCAAGAGAGTCCTTGCCCAAGAATGGTAACAGCACAGTTTCAGACAGTTTTACAGTTACAGACAATTAAAAAAAAACACAACACAGCCATACACCAAGTTTAGCCAAAGCATTTACAGACACATCGGCCTGCTTCAAGGATGTAAATTAGTTTAGTTTACTAGCAACACATGTAAATGGATTGCAGTCAAAGGTTATACAAACGGAATATTTTGAGGTGAGTAAGATTTTATTGAGCTGGAAGGGAACATCTCTATAAAAAAAACATTTGACATTTATGCTTGACCTTGCGCCAAGGACTGTGTGCTCCGGTCTGGGTCAGTACTCCAAAACATGGTGTGGAAATCTTAAAAATCTGGTTTCCTCAAACCTAGCGAGGTTTGCTCTATAGATTACTAAAATGTATTTTGTTACTGTTGATTTAAGGTAGTGCAGAGTATTTCCAGGTGAGTGTATCCAACATGAACAGCCTTTACACTGTTTGATCCACACCCCTCAAGCTGGAACTTCCCAGTTCATTTCCTGGTGTTTGTGTTTTATGGTTTTAACCTTTCAGCTGCGTTCAAGCTCTAATGGCTTTCCTACAAAGGTAACCGCGTAGAAAGGCGCTGAGAAAACCTGCAATGAGAGTAACAGAGCGGCAGGTAAAGTAGTACAGTAGTAGCTGAAAATAAAGTGAGTGTCTGGGGGTTAGGCGGCGGTGTGTTTCATCCTGTGCTAGTTCTGTGGCACAGCTTGGATTATCAGTGGCGTTATGGTCCTGGGCAGAGCTTTAATGCCGCCACCGTGGTCAAACGCCTTTGATACGCTTGGCCAGTGCCCTCCAGGCAGCAAAGGAAGAGTAAAAAGGCACCAAAAGAGGCACTGAAGCGTGTGTGTGTGTGTGTGTGTGTGTGTGTGTGTGTGTGTGTGTGTGTGTGTGTGTGTGTGTGTGTGTGTGTGTGTGTGTGTGTGTGTGTGTGTGTGTGTGTGTGTGTGTGTGTGTGTGTGTGTGTGTGTGTGTGTGTGTGTGTGTGTGTGTGTGTGTGTGTGTGTGTGTGTGTGTGTGTTCAAAGTCACCCACATGCTATGATCATACCCAGTGTGATGTATGTGTGTGTTTGCTGGGCTCACAGTTAGAGTGCTGTGGTGTGAAATCAGGTTTCTTTGCTTCTCAGCCCCAAGCCTCGATTCCTCTCTTCTTATGTACATGGCCATCTGTCTCTCCACCTCCGCCTCTTTATCTCTCAACCAGACAGTGACCTTGCTATCGCCCATTTCACACATCTCCCTCCCATCTCTCTCTCAGTCCCCCTCCCCTCCTCCCATGTCTCTCAGCACCTCTCTCCAACTCTCTCTTCCTCTCATCTTCCCTTTCTCTGGGGCTCTTTTGTGTAATTAAGTCCATAGTAGCGATGTTGGCTCACCAGCTTTGCCATCCTGACGGCCAAATTAAAAATTGATTTCTTTGACTGATTCCATGCCCTGGGTGAATGCTCTGGCCCCCCTCTCTCTTCCACTTTCTCCCCTGCTCAACTTGATATTGATGCTCTATCTCTTCGTATTCTGGTCTCACCTTTTTTGCACGATAAAATGTTCTAGTGTTGTCCATTGCCCCACCTCACACCCCACCTACCACGAGTAAACCATCATTTGGGACTAGGTAGTCTGAAGTGTGCTGCTGCAAAGCCTTTTCTTTATCACTAAGGGACAAGCAATGCATGCAACCAATAGTCATGCTATGACTGCCAGCAAATGTCACTTAACTGAATATAAATATCATCGAACATTCACAACCTAAACAGTGTTAGGTTTGCAAAGTTTCATAAATCAATGGAGTCACCCATGAGGCAGGCTGTGGCCCGTGTCAGGGCTGCACACACTCTGACTTGAGGAAGATCACTGAAGTCAATCCAAGTCAAAAACACCTTGTGGCTCTCTTACCCGAGTCAATAATTCAGAAGAAGGGAGGTTACAAAAACCCTGTTGCTGGACATTATTATCGCTGCTCAATATTTCAAAGTTTGTCAGACCTTTGACAGTGGTCTTTTAACCAGTGGACAAAGCTGGCCAGTTTTTTGCAGCAGGCAATTTGGCTTATTATATAAGATGTCCATACATGCTCTCCCAATTCTAAAGAGCACATATTTCTAGTATCTGTTTAAAGCCAGACACCCTGAAATATTTGACAATATGAAAGAAAGGCATTGAGTATCGGTGCTGAATCAGCACATGCATTCATACATAATCTGAGGTCTTTGCATTCTATCTTATTTGATACAGCGTTCAGATTGTGCCATGTGTGTCTCACACACTTTGGTTATCCCATGCATCACTCTGTCCCTCTGTTACCCTCATCTTTCTCTCATTTGTCATTCACCACCATCTTCCTCCCGTCCCTCTGCTTTACACCCCTCCCTTGTATTCTCACATGTACTTTCTGCAGTCTGATCTTGCTTTTTGTTTCCCTTGCCTACACCTATGCTTTTGCTGAAGTTCTCATACTATCAATAGCCAATAATAGCATAAGTTACAGAAAGCTAATTCCTTATAGCTCAGATTTGTGTCACCATGTACAAAATCCTTCTGACATTAGTAGTCTTGACAGCACTGACATATCAAAAGCAGGAATGTGATGTCCCATCTCTGCCTAATCATGTACTTTGAGCACATTCACGACTAAAAGACCACCTCTCAGAGAAGTGCATTGTTTGCTGTTATTTGGTATGTCAATGATGTCATATCATGCTATTACATTTAGCTTGATTATATTCTCAGTTGACATTTTAGGTTATTGACATGTAGTGAGGGTAATGCTAAGGGAAAGCTAATGTTGTTTGGAACATTGAAAAACCTATTATCGCAAAATTAGAATCTTTAACTATTAATTTGCAATTGCAGTTTTGATGAGAGGTCAGAGTCAACAAGATTAACAATCTTCTGGAAACACAAATACCAAAGCAAATATAAGGTTTGTTTTGAATATCTTAAATAATAATACATTTTGACATCATGAAGAATTGAGCCCTTGTGGACTGATTTCCATACTTACATTACATGTCCTTATTGAGATCAACATGCATCGCTCCCTCTGTGTACAAATATGTATGTTTGATGTGGTTGTGACTGTAAATACTGGGAACAAGTTATACACCTTAACCCCACTATATATAAATTATTCATCGTGGAAACCTAACACTAGATTAGATTTTGGTTGGAGTATACAATTAGTCATTAGAGCCACATTGTAGAATATAACAGGCCTGAACGTCATCTGCTATATCATGTTGCCAGCTTTATTTCATGCTTCTTTTCCTTACATCTGTCGTAAAAAGTCAGGCTGTCTATTCTGAATAAACAGAGCAGCATGGATCAACTAAAATAAATAACTCAAAATGAATATAATTTGTTTCCCTTCTGCCACTGCATTTTCTCTCTTTCACCTACCCATCTCTTTTTCTAACAACATAAGCCAGGAGAGCTCACGCCTTATTAGCTGTCAGTTGTAGCGTTATCCAGACTAATTACCAGGACTAATCTCCACTAATGACAACATTATGAGGTGTACAGTACATGTGGCAGCGTGGCCAAAGAAGGATATAACCAAAGAAGGCTTACATTCAGGAATAACCCAGCACATCTGTGTTGCTGTGGTTCATCATGTGCCTGAGTGTAGGAGTGTAGCACGCATGGAAAAAATAGGTCAGATTTGAGGGTGTTTGGATGAAAGACAATGAGGAATGACAGCAGCAGTCTGGTACAATTAGATAGTCAAAACACAAGAGTGAACCACATTGCACGGGACAAGTCTTGAGTGTGCAAATATGATATTGGGCTAATGCAAATCAAAGCCAATGGAGACTTAATACACATGGTTGAACAGAGGTTTACAGTACTGATCAAACTAGCTATGATATATAGCTATATATTGTTCACATCACAAGTGTTGCCCAATTTCACTATTGGAATATAATGTTGATACAACATTTTGAAACTTCAAATATGTAGATGTGTCATTGTCTACCATGAGGAATTGTAAATGGCTATGCTGAAGATAATAAATCAATGAAACACTGTATGGTATGCATTTAAAAGAGTGAGTGATTATATCAGTTTGTAGTCAGTGGGCAAGAGCATAGAACACCACTGACATGGCTAAAGGACAAGTGTTAACACAATGAGCAGTTGGCCCTCCTGTCTTCACTCTGACAATTGACAGAACATGCCTGCTGCCGGGATCATACCTGATGCTTTACAGCAGCAGGACGATTTCCTTAACCTCGTAGCTGCGACAACAACACAACACAAAAAAGGAGACAGGAGCCTTCTCTACATTCCCTTTACCTGTCAGGGAGAGTTTGTGGGGGTGTGAGGGAGCGTGAAGAGCCCTCAAATCATGGGGGGAAAGGCACACAGACAAATACAAAGGCCTCAACTGCTTCACACTATTACCTTGAGGACGGCCTTGCAAATAGCTGTCTACAGAGTGTTCAACAAATAAAAGGAGAACTGAAACAATGAAGACAAGGATAATTTACTTTGCCGCTAGCACTTAATCCATTATGAATGCATATAGTGAGGCATAAAAACAGCCTTTGAGCTGAAACAATGGAGCCGCATTTCATCAAAGGCAGTTGGAGACATTTACATTAAGGCCGCAGGCAACATTTACTTCTCCCTGCGTCTCACTTTACCCTGGAGGCATTTAAGTTGCATCCATTGACTGTGCTTATACACATACTGATATTTCTGAGCTGCTCTTATTCTACCAAAACAAATAGTTTGTGTGCTTTATGGATTTGAACGGGGGTTTATAAAGTGGTTCAGAGCTTGATGCACAAACACACACACGGACGTCAGTAGCATCAATGGAAGCATGCCCCGGGCAACTCATTGGCAGTCAGTGGTTCACCGTTTTGAAATCATTCAAAGTGTAAAAGGATTGCACATAACATCAGTTATCTTAACACTGTCTTTAGGATCTGTATTTATTCAGAGATAGTTAAACTACGTATGTATCATGTTGTATATGTGTTTGTTTTCAAATATTCAAGAACAAGTAATGTTCAACACTCACATCTTGATTCATCATTTCACAGCAGCCACTATCATGACACTTGAAATTAATTTGGGCAATTAGGGTACATCTGTGGGATCTGAGTCCATTTTTAAATAATTATCCAATTCTAGATGCATATTTGAAGCTACAGAAACTTGTAACTACACATTTTGTATACAGCATTCTAAACTGGTAAGCACTTGCTCTCCTCCCTGCTCTCCAGGTGGTGTACAAAAACAACGACTTCAAGCTGGAGCTGTCACGGCTGGCCATCGATCGAGACCCTAAAATCAGCCTTAATGGCGACTTGGTGTTTCGCTGCGAGGACGTGGCCGCCCTGGACCCCGTCACCTTTGAGACCCCCGAGTCCTTCATCTCCCTGCCCAAGTGGAACGCCAAAAAGATGGGATCTATCTCCTTCGATTTCCGCACTACGGAGCCCAGCGGGCTCTTGCTCTTCAGCCATGGCCGTCCTCAGGGTCCCAAAGAGCAGAAGCCTGGTCGGGAGCTGAAGACTGATTACTTCGCCATGGAGCTGCTGGAGGGGTATTTGTACCTGCTGATCGATATGGGCTCTGGAGAAACAAAGCTGAGGGCCAGCAACAAGAAGGTTAATGACGGAGAGTGGTGCCATGTGGATTTCCAGAGGGAAGGGAGGAAAGGTGAGGGGTGGTTTAAACTTGTCATGTTGAAACTGACAACTAATCTTACATTTTGCTGTGCATGTGCAAACTTTAAATGCAACTTTTTTAACTGAGTTAACATTCACATTTTATAGCCAATCCATTTCTTATTATTCACATCAAGAAGTATTTTCGTGTCAGACAGATATTTGTCACACAATATTATTCATCATATACAATAATAAACTTGCCTTGCTCAAGGGCACCATGGCAGGGCAGGAAGTGAACTGGGACCTCTCCAAGTAGCAGTCCACACTCCATATTTTAGGTCTGGTCGGGGACTTGAACCGGCAACCCTACAGCTCCCAGTTCAAGCCCCTACTTACTGAGCCACTGCCGTACATGTTACATCAAACAACGTTTTGTTGTCATTTTATTGTACATCAATACAATACATGTATATAATTCCTCACCCACAGCCCCAACGGAAATTGGCTTTAGTTGAAACTTTACAATTACGGCTAAATATATATACATGTTCCTAGGTCCTCTACCGTACAAAAAACACAAATGTGCATAGATAATTGGCTAGTCCAAATCCGTCTAGCTTTCCATGCTAACCCAAGCTTGTTAAAACTAATGCTACATGTATTGGTATTTGTTAATATAGGTTTATTTACGTGCAGAGAGACTTGTAATCAGATGTCTCTGAGTGCATGTGGGCGCAAACACCGACATCTGAATGCTTGAGTGTTTGCTGTCTGATGAATGATCTGTAGGTGGGCAAGCACCTAGGACATTATAGCTCCCCCTAAAGGCGTCTTATAATGAGGAACGGTGTTGTGAACGAGTGTGTGTGTGTGTGTGTGTATGTGCGCGCTTGCTTGTGATGATCTCACTGCTGCTCCTGCTGTAATTGGCTTTTAATAGAAAATTAAGACGGAGTCGTTAATCACAGAAAGATAGAGGGCCTTTTGTTTCACCCACTCTCTGCTGCATTCTGCTTCCCTTCTCCTCCATTTAGCCTATTACAGACATGCATGTTATACACACACACACACACACACACACACACACACACACACCCACACACACACACACACACACACACACACACACACACACACACACACACACACACATATACACTCGGCTGTGATCCATTCTGTCTCTATGTCCTTCTCTCTGTGTCCCTAAATGACTATGGTTAGACTGACACATCTATGTGCCTGCAAATCCAAACGCGTTCAATATTTAATAGATTACTTGTTTTTTTGTTTCTGTCCTTTAGGCTCCATCTCAGTCAACAGCCGCAGCATGCCCTTCAGCTCCCCAGAGGGCAGTGAAATCCTGGACCTGGACAGCGAAATGTACCTGGGTGGGCTGCCCGAGTCGAAGTCGGACCTCATTCTGCCGCCAGAGGTCTGGACGGCGCTGCTTAACTATGGCTACGTAGGCTGCATGCGTGACCTCTTCATCGATGGAAAGAGCCGCGATGTTCGCCGTCTGGCTGAGATCCAGAGCGCGTTTGGGGTCAGCAGTTTCTGCACCCGGGAACTGCAGAAGAGGTGCAGCAGCGCCCCCTGTGGCAACACAGGCCTGTGCAAAGAGGGCTGGAACCGCTACATCTGTGACTGCATCGGCACCGGATACCTCGGTACCAACTGTGAGATAGGTAAGAGGGGACAAGGGAATGCGTCTTCTATGTGTGAAGGGACCACATTTCCAGCTCTAGAATGTATCATAAGCTTGCACCTAGTTAGTGAAATAGCACAATTGTGGTATACACAATTCAAAAAAGGCCATTGTATCATCCCAAGCGTGACACACACATACAAACACCGTTCCATCGGTGACGCAACATAACTTCTCATAATCAGCATACACTGCAGATGGTCAAACAATGAAACTGTATAGTTGTTAATGTTGTACAATGTTTACAATGTTATGTCGTAAACTCCATCCAATAAAACCAGGGAACACGTTTAGGATGAGCATTTCGATGATGCGCTGCTGTGCATTTCTCATAAACCAAGCATCTGCTTTATAGTAAGAGTAAGAGCTCCGCAGGGAGGTGTGTGTGCACCAAGTGCCACCCAGGGCTGGACAGAGCCCTCGAGCGATGAGGCTGGCAGCAGTGTGACAGAACAGCCATGCCTACCGCCACCATCTGTGTCACTCACCCAAACACAGGTGGTGCATACGCCTCAGTTAGGGCAGCTTACCTAGTTAAACCGCACCACGTAGGTCTGATTCATTCCAATTAGCTGCAGGCGCCTCGCTTTGTGGTTTGTCTTTGCGTGTCCGTGGGGGGGACTGAGCCATGACTGTACGGCATTTTGAGGGACAAGGAGGGTAATGAGGAAAGGAGAGATTGGACTCTTTATTCTGAAGGGTGATATTTTAACAGTTTTGCCTTTGGCTGCTCAGGTGACAGGTGTAGTTTTAGTGGCCCTCTTTTGCCATCTACTGGAGCTTCTTGTTACTGCATGGATGTGTCGCAGGGCACTGTTCTAATAACCAGTTGCATATTTCTCTGTGTCAATAGACTCAGTGCATATATTCACAGAGTGAATATACTATTGATTAGATGAATAAACCCAAGGGATATTACATGATGCCTTTAAGCCCACTACATCAAAAATAATCAATGCTGTTTAAGCTGTTTTGTGCACTGATAATTATTTTTTATTGATTACTTTATTTGTTATTGAATCCTGTCATATTTGCAAATGAAATGTATTTTCACACAGAGTTGTACACCTTACATTTCAATGAACCTCACATAAACCCTCAATATAAAGTAAAAAACATGAGGTTAGGTACTACAAAACACAAGGACATGTTTTTCAACAGGCAGTACACACAGGCAGTCAGTCGGTCCAGTAGTTTATCTGGTAACTGAGCACTTCTGACATTTCTTGCCTTTTCAACTCGTTCTAATTTGAGTGGGGTAGACTGAGGTACCAAGCCACCTCAAAACCCACATCTACCCTGTTGCCAGCAAAGGCACCAGTTTTTATGAAGTCAGTCGAAGGGTTTTTTCTGTATTTGTTGTTTACCTACATTTTTCTAAAACCTGGACGTGTCATTTACCCTGTGACAGTGACTCATGTTATGGTGACGCATGTCAACCCACACTGCAGAATAATAGCAGTACTCAGAGAACTGTCACTCTACACAGCAGACTATTTATGGCATGGCTGATTCTAGAGAGAGTAGGCACATTGCCTGGTGTGAATAAGAATTTATGCTGAACCAGCGTAACTTCCGTTTTTTTAGGCTTGGGGAGTGAATGATGTTGGAGTCATTATGAATATTTATTGCGTTTCTTTTTTCCATTATAATGAATGTTTTCAGTTGGTGCTTTGGGTTGTAGATGTGTCATTCTGTGGAAATTAATTAGGGGGGTATGAACTCCTGGGCATATTGTGTGGACACAAAACAAATGAAGAAACAATCATATTTAATATCGACTTGACATGTCAAACAACAGAGGTGCAATGCCAAAAACACAAAGAGAGACACATGGCTCATTGTGGACATGATGTCACCAAACATCCTTTGAATTACATATTACTTCTGCTTATTTTTTTATAATACATGTGATTTATATAGCGCTTTTCCTGGTCCTGCTTTTAAGCACAAGACACATATTAACAACATCTTTACTGTTTGATGAAGTAAGACCAATATAAATCAGTTTGATCTAATTGTAGTTTTAAATACATCCGATGGAGATATTTTACAAACATGAAACTCTATGCCTATGTCCTGCATTCTGCAAGACTTTTTTCTTTTTGGAAACAACCTTCCCTGTGTAACGTTTCAACCTCTCCTCTCCTCTTCCTCGCCCCTATCCAGAGGCGACGGTGCTGAGTTATGACGGCAGCATGTACCTGAAGATCATAGTGCCGGTCACCATGCACACGGAGGCGGAGGACCTGGCGCTGCGCTTCATGTCTCAGCGGGCGTACGGCCTGCTCATGGCCACCACCTCCAAGGAGTCAGCAGACACCCTGCGGCTGGAGCTGGACGGAGGCCGCGTCAAGCTCACCGTGAACCTCGGTAGGTCGCCGTATTACATGGACGTTGTCCCTGCTGACCTGCCCTTTCCACCCCTTGTCTCCTCATCGTCACTCGACGGTTTGACACCTTGATCATTTGTTTTTGTTGTTGATAGTTGGTTGGGGAAACGCTTCTTCTTTTGTACCTCAGTTATGTTTTATTTGTTCTTTATGATGGAGAACATTTCATGCCATTCTGTGTTGGCTGAACAAGCTAGCTGCACATTTATTTATTTGAGAAATGCCAACATTATGATGTTCAAAGGATATTTAATTGAGAAAACTGAGGTACAATACAGAAACTTCTCCTCAAAAGTGCTTGCTGCAGGAAAATATAACTAAAGGTCTCCCTCTGTGGGGAGTCAACCTGCAGTCATTTCTCCTCCATATTATTTGACCCCTTGTACCATCCCTTCTCCTTGCAATCACCAACTTCCTTTTGTGCCCTGTGAAGCCCCATAGCAGCTCCTCCTGTTTAAAAGCTCCATCTCTAACAGTATCCATGGCCCCCACCCTGGGCTTCAACCCACTGACCTGTCTCTAGCAGCTTTAAGGTGGCATCACTCCTGTTTCACTCCTCCTCATGGTTCAGCCCGCTCCCTTTTTTGTGGAGTTAGCTGAGGAGTTCAATAGCTCTACTTTTGCCCAGCAGCGGTGCTTACAGAAGATAGGTATCCTAGCATATGTAATTACAGACAAGTTAAAAGTAGAGGGGGGTGTCACAAAGTCTAAAAGGCAATCTTAGCGGGGAAAGGTCATTGAAATTGTAGAGCAGGGTTTGCAAGAGGGATAGTTTCAGAGATAGGGCAAGTACATTCCTTCTAATAACTGGCTTCATGAATGCAGAGCTTTTGACTTGTTAAAATGCCATAGCGATGAGTTTTAGTGCTCTGGGGAAGTTAGGTTTGACCTTCCAGCTTAAGGATACTTTAAGTCTGTGCTGAGCCTTTGAAGGACCAGAGTCTCAAAGCTGAACCGGGGGGTGAAAGGTAACCCTGAGTTATGGGAGTTTAAGCCACCATAGAGACAGGAAGGGGGCGGGGCGGAGGTGGCCATTCCTTTCTTCTTCTACCTCCCTTTCTCTCGCTGCTCATTTTCTGTCATTCATCTAAACTCCACCTGGCCAAAACTCAGAAGATGGAACTTTTCATCCCTTCAATGGCCTTTATGTCTGCGGCCCTTGGATCAGACAGTCAGAGAGACCGGGTCACAGCTGAAGTTCCGCAAAGTTGCACGGACACCGTCCACAGGGCCACAACTTGACCTGCTAGAAATCCCCGTGCACACACCTACGTCAAATCCATAACACCAACGTGCTCATATTAGTATTCCAATTTCCATCCGAGAAATGGGACCCACATTCTAATGTTTCTGTTTTCAATTGGGCTTAAAAGTTGAACAGTTGACTGACAATAAAGGTCTCCTCAGGACTTGTTTGCAAGTTAATTAATTACCAACTAAAGTAGATCAAAATCCTCATTACAATACACATTATCATTAGTTGTCAAGGCTTTAATCCTAGTTAGAATGATTAAAGCCCATCCAGTTATTCACTATCAAAGACAATACAGCCAGATTAAGCCCTAATGATATTTATTAGTGATGGATAATGACAATAACCAGCTTAATGTTGCTCCCTTTTTAGACGGTTGATTGTTATGTAACTCTGTCGATCCTTTTATTTATGATCTGTTGAAAACACTTTCACGTACTTTAGGGACAAGAAAGATTGCACACATGTTGCTTCCTACAGAGAACACTGCTGCTTACAAACTCATGTGGCCCCTAAATATAGTTTGAATAATTGTGTTTCTATAACCCCCGACTCTCTACAGCGTGACGCCGGTCCCTGGCTGTTTGTGTCCACTATTCTGTAGCGGTTGACAGCTTGAGACCACAACCCAACCACACTGCCACATGCACACACAGTTTACCGACACTAGATGGGGCTGAACAGCAATTAATTGATTTTAAAATATAGTATTCTGTGGGGAATTATAATTTCATACTTTAATTATCCCTGTAAGCTGTGACCTGTCCCTTAAGGTCACGGTAAGCTTCAGAGCAGACAATAGTTCCTTGCTGAAGGGTACTTAGCAAATGGTAACTGACCATCTGCTTTACCTTCTACTTGAAAGACAGCACTTGTATCCAACACTCTATTCTGACAACACAGCTTGTAAAGTCATAACACCCTTCAGTGTTTTTGTCGCACCACTTGTAGCAAATAGTAAAGTGGCAGCCCTATTTCTTGCACATTGTGTGCACCAGGCGTGATGTGGCTGGGATGTGCAGATCACCCTTTCTTGTCATTTACACTGTTGGGTTTCTCATGCTCCAAAGTGCTGCAGAAGGCAACTGAAACTCAAATCGCTGGGAAAGATTGACTAATGGTCACTGCGTTAGCTCTAGAAAGTTCACAGCAGATGCGAGAGAAGGTTATTTGTATACACAGTGAGAACAATGGTTTCACACACTTTTCTTTTTGCAATCTTCTTCAAGATGGCAACCACATTTAAGTTATTAAGGTCATATAAGTATAGACAAAACATGTTACATGTTACTCGCTACAGGGTGTACTTCGAGGGGTTGTGACTCTGCACACCGTTTACATGCAGACAAACCTTCATCACACAAGGGGACGGGTGATAACCGGAAAAGCATGACATGGGACCTTTAATACTTTATATTTTGTTTTACAAAGAGAAAAACGTTAAAGTTAATACAATACACGAGTCATAAAAGTGTTGCCAGATGGTACGTAACATAGTCTTTGCTCAGTATTTCAAAATGGTACTCCACTCAGATAAGACCTTATAATTCCAAGTACACAATTTGCATTTTGATGGAGTCTCTGTAATCACATATAAAGTGTTTATTACATCATCTTTTGAAGTGTCCTCACTATGTTCACATTGCACCACGCTCTCTCATTGTATTGTTCCCGTGGTGCTAGTCTTGCCTTCTGCTGTGCTTTGAGGGCATCGGGTGGAGAGGAGGGGTGTATGATGGGATTGATGGAGAAAAGGGTGATCCTGACTCAGAGCCTGTCCCCGGATGGTGGCCTCAGAGCAATGCTTGGTTGTCTGCAGAATGTACCTTGAAGGATGTAAAATGTCTTTTTCTCTTTTATCCTCTTTCTGTCTCTTTCTTTCTCTTTTCTTTTTATTTGATCTCACCATTTCGCTCTTTCTCCCGCCAGATTGTATCAGGATAGACTGTAGCCTCAGTAAGTGGTTCTATCCAATTCTCTGACTAAAATGTATCTGTCTATCTCATCTTGATTCTGTGCAGTCGCCCTTTTCTGCTTCCTCCTGACCTCATCAAGAGTGACGCCTCTCTCATTACCAACGTCACTCTTCCATATTTCCTAACCCATTAAACTGTTGGATTTAGTTTTCCCATTACAGATCATTTGCCCTCTTTGCCATCGTTCATTTGTGTTTTTCTTATCGCCTCATTTGTATGTTTCTCCCCACCTCTTTTCAAGTACATAATCTAGGTCGTATTTGTCTTCTTTTTATGAGTTCCGTCACTTTGATTTCCATGTTTCTTTCACAGATTGAATTAATGTTTTCCTTTCCTAATCTTTTTCATCCTGCCATCCTCTTCGCTTGCCTGCCACACTCCGCTCTAAAATGATTTCATTGCCTCTCATCTGCTCGTAACCCATTCTATTAATTTTCCCATCAATCTTCTCCAAAATTAATTCAGAAAAGGGCAACTTGACACGCCCCTGTTGGATATTCTATTTCTATTATGCAGAGCTGAGTCTTGGCTCCATTCGGCTGCACACACAGGTGTTGCTTGTGTTCAATGTGGGACAAACAGTAGTGTTGGCCCCCAGAAAGCTAATTGCTTATCCACAGAGAGTCGGCACCACATGGTGCGTGCTTGTTTTCAGAGCAAGTTAATGTTTTTCTGCCCCATGCTGACAGAATAATAGAAAACTGTTATTTCTATCTTGGCCACACTCAATTGAAAAACTAGCCCACAGGTAAGTGCTGCCAGCCACAGTGACGAAATTGGAGAAAACCTGATGTTTGCAACAATGTTTATGTCCTTCAAAATCCATGTCAGTGTTGGAGAAGACATATGTGGACTTGACTTTCACCCAGCGTTCGTGGAAATAGCTTCACAAAGCAATTAAGGGCTTTTTAATGTGTGTATCTACCCTTTAAAAAAACTGTGCTCAGAGAATATGGCCATGCCTTTATTGAGTCATTCGTCAACCTTCAGTTTGCAGTCAAAAAGATCACTATTGGGAAGGGGGTCAGTGTTAGACTTGTGTTAACATTTCTGAGTAATGGTGATGGTTACAATTCAGAGTTCATGTTTCAGTGGTAGGTGCTCCTGTAAAGTCATACACATGTGCATCCCATTTGATTGAGTCATATGATTGTGCGTTACATCTCTGCACTTAAAATGCACTTGGACACTGTTTATGTCAGACTTGGTGGAGTGCAATCCAAAAACTCCAACAGCCCCTGCCAGGCATGAAAGTGGTCTCAGTTTATGACGAATCACACCACTTATGTGTGGAACCACTGTCATGACACACATTCAAACAATGCTTAGAGAGGGTCTGTACCCCGGGTTGACCACTAGATGTCAGACAAGCACTGGGGATAGTGTGTGATCTCCCTGCACTACGGAGGAGACTTTTATTATTTTCTTGGCTCTATTAGTCATTTCTCTGAAACTGCCTTGAATTGTACTTGATTTTAATTGATCTTATATGGTGGTTGAGGTCACGACAGATTTGTTTGGATGTGACAGATGTTGCAGTGAGAGAATGTCAGCAGGCTGAGCAGTTCCTCCACATATTATTCACTTGTTCCTCATACCCTGATAATGGAAAGCCCTTTTTATCATGGATTGCATGTAATTCAGCTGCTTTGTTTAAATATTGATGCTTTGTTCACTGCTTTGGCGAAAAATCTATCACACACTTGGAACACGAGGTTTCTGTCGTTTTGCAAGGAACATTTTATTATATTCTTTGGCTGACTGGGCAGCCTTACACAGCAGTGCCCTGCTTCATGGCCACTCAGTCACACACAACGTTGTTTAATGAATACCAGAATATGAATGTTTGAGTGTATAAAGGATGGGGGGAGACGATGTGGATGAGAGGTGGGCTGAAAAAACGAGAGGGAGCAAACCAGAGTAGAGCTATAGACAACAATGTATTCGATGCCATGACATCTCACGGTTGATTCCTCCTCCATAGACCTGCAGTAACTAAAGCCTTGAGCTCCATAAAGGGAATTTGGCTGGATGCTGCATGTAGATGTTCTTATAGGTAAAATACACTTTAATTAGCACCAGACCCGGCGCCAGAACAAATCTAAAGGGAGGGCATATGATTTTCATGGGAGGGCACACAAAACCGTCACGTGCTGCGGGCCTGCGGCACAATATATATCAAACAGCAAGGCCAACGGCATTGCGTAAAGACGCACACTTATCGCAAATACATACACAAATAAAGGGCAACATAGCAACCACTTTGAAACATTGTGTGCGTGGCAGCACAGACACTGGTAAATCACGAGCAAGGCACACTGGTTAAGGATGGCAGCTTCCTCATCGTTGCACTCGGAGAGAAATAGAGACGGACACGATGAACTGTTTTGCCCGCCTTGGGCATGGCTTATGTTCCTATGCACTGCAGGTGCATCCTTTCGCTCAGCCGAGCTAACTTAGAACATTATTTTGGCCAACTCTGCATCTTTGTACTGCAGCGTATACTCAAACAGCGATAGGAAGAGCCCACTGCCCGACTCGGACATGCTGTGGAGTGAACCGTGGTCACCTCTGAGAGGGAGTTGGTTGACAGCTAAAAAAGCTATACTATCAACGACAGCTGACACGTAATAACGGCTCCGTGCAGCTGATCTGCACCAAAGTACTAATTTCCTTATTTGTTTCCTCGCGTATCTCTCTCTCTCTCTCCACACACTCTCACATGAAATGTGTTCTTTTGATGCGGCATGCATTAGCAGTCCTTTATCAGTCTGTAATGCGTGTTTCCAGTCGCAAAAACCTTTGACAGTAAAAGCCGCATCAGATGAAGATGTATTTACTTTAAACTGTCTACAGTGGAAACAAAAGGCTGCGTCTTCTTTTAACAAATATTCAAGCCATGGTCTGTTGTGTACCATGCAGCGGCAAAAGTGCGCTTCTTTCCTGAAAACAATCTCCCTGGATAACGATCCAGTTTCACCTGGTTGGGTTTATTAACCCCAAGATCATCTGGGGCTGTTGGTCTTTGAGCGGTTGCTTTTCAGCCAATTTCTGATGTCCATTTTGTAATTCAAACATAAATGTGAGTCTACACAGAATGCACAATAAACAAACAAATCCAGAAGGCAGCAGAGTGTGACGCTGTGATTGGTTTAAATGTGCGAATCACAAATCACAACAGACACATGAATTTATTTGACATAGCCTGCGATTTTTTGTTTTAGTTACTATCTGACATCAGATACATCGTAGCATAAAAGTTCACTTTATTTATAATTAAAAAAATAAAAGATAATAATAATAATAATCAAAAACGTGTATATTGGGGGAGGGCAGGAATGTCAAATGGGAGGGCCTGGCCCTCCCTGGCCCTCCCACGGCGCCGGGCATGATTAGCACAAGGCAAAATTAAATGCTAACATCAATAAAAGGCTACTATTGACACAATGTATCTATAACACTATAGCAGGATGTCCCATCTTGATCTCGGGAAATCCAAAGAGATTCAGCAAAACCAGCTTTAGGACAAACATTGATCTCTCCCTCCTTAGCTTCAACACCTCATGTATGATACACTCACAAACATGAGGAACAATGATCAATTGATCTGATCAGGATGTGTTATAATTGGTTGCATTTGAGACCAAGCAAGCTCAACTGGCATACAATTCTTTTTTCCATGGCATTACTGCTGCTACTACTTCTAAAACTACAGTAGTTCACCTCTTGACCTACTACTTGATCTTTTTTTTATTGCCGGTGCTTTGGAAGTAAAGGATCAGCCTTGTGTTTTTAATGCACTATATTGTGACCCTGCTCTCTCACCTTAATGCGTCTGTATATGATATGGAGCGGAGCTGTAGCCCTCAGTTGCAGTCAGGTCAAGGTGTCAGGCTGATGGTATCTGTTTGGAAGGTGGCCTTTCAGCAGCCAGCAGCCCCTTCTCTCTGAGCCAGATGAGATGAGATTTGCCGTGACATGACCAGCATGTGAGGCGCAAGCACTCCGTCTGCCAATGTCAAACCCTTTGGCCTATAAACCTGCAAATACTCACCCCACGCCACAATAAGATGCACGTTGTGTCTCTGTGGAGAAGAGATCAAAAGTAACTGTTTATAATTCATTAAGTTAGCACGTGGAAGCAAAAACAAATATATATTTTTTTTAAAAAACACTATGTAAATCATTAGCATACAAATCACTGTTTCACCAGACATAAATGTGAAACAGGTGAAATATGCTCTTTTAATTGTATGCTACTTGACATTAACAGATACCAGACAATGTAGAGTCAGGCAGTTAGCAGTGTATCTCCTTCATGTTACATAAAGGGCACAGACAAGTAGCACATGTTAAAGGCTTTCAAAACCTTTTTTCTTAATCAGATTGCATTACAATTACAGGCTTAATCATATATAGAGCATCATTCAAGTGAAAACATGATATAAACTGCCATTGATGTTAGTAATTGGTCAGTTTTTGTCTGAATGTTCAGCTATTTCTTTGATACTCTCTCTCTGCTTAGACATTTGAATCCAACTTATCAACCTTGGTGAGCACTAACATCCCAGAGCGATTCACAGCCATGGCATTTAGATGAAATCTCCCACTTGTGTGCATACCGGGTGCTTTAAGGATTCCAACATCTGTGAACACACTGTTAATGTCAAGGTAATCCTTTTCAAGGTGTGAGTGCATCACGATGGTAGCAATTTGTACTACAATGTTCTCAAGTAAATGTGTTTTCTTACTACCTGCTCTGACTGCTAGAATGGGTTACTTCTAAAGTTCAACCAGTGAACCACGATTGTTCCGTCCTAGCTAAAATGGCAAGGCACCTAATGCTTTTGTGCAGAATATTATTATTCTCTTTTACACCATTTGAGGGTGCTTAGGATGCTGGAGTTACATGACTTGTAACCACAGCTAACAACGAGCTTCAGCGTCCTGGATAATAAGTGGATGCTAAACTACCTTCTT